CTGCATACTTTTCAGTCATACATTGTTTAATAGATAATGAATATATGAATATTAAAGAGCCTTTTTAAATATTTTTAATTTTTCGGCACGATAGGTGGTCTTACTAGGTAAGATATATTGGGAAAAATCTCCATATGGAATCTTTGTTTTAATACATGGATCAAGACATTATTGGACAAGCCAAAATAGTTTCTAACCATGTTTTTATTAAATTGAATTTCATTAAATTAATTTGTTTTTATGTAAATCTTTTGGAACGTGTAGCAATTGCTCCTCGCCTTTTCGGTTGCTGTCAACGACGAACCCAGGGATATGGATGTGGTTGTAGGATGAGAGTGGGCTCCCCGATTCGAACTGCAGACAATTAAAATAGCTTTGTGGTGTGCGTGAGTCAATTGCCGGGGCGCCCACACACACACACATGCACACACTCACAGCGGTATCTTGTATCTTACGGATAATCTCTGCGTGTTGATTTATGCAACAATTTCCAGTGTTTTGATCGATCATTCATTCCCCATTCTATTTAACCCTTTCGAGAGCACGCTCCCGCCGAAAGAGCCCAGCAACCCGACATATTAAAAACATTTAATTAGCTTTTATTGACCATTAAGATTCCAATCGTGGCTGGAACAGTAGCGGCCACAGCATGGAATACACCCACCACCGCTTTCTACAACACTTATTTATACACTTTTAGCTTTATTACTTTTCCACAAAAACATTTTATGGCAGCCAGCAGCAGCAGCATCGAAATATTTATGATATTTACAACACAAAGAGCGAAAAAGTGAGCGAATGGGAAATTTTTGACTAAAATCGAAATAAAAAAATACAAATTAATTAAAGTCAATAAAGTAAATTAAATGTGGCCAGGGTCTGGACCCCTTTTAATGGGCCAACTTCGTAGAGCCCTACGCAATATCTGATGTATTTATTCCAAGTTTCTGAGTTGTTTATGGCCAAGACCGAACCCGGACCGCTCCTCCTCTGAGTGATCATCATCATCGCGGCTGGCTGGCATGCACTTCGCTGCCAATTTAATGGCGTTTTTACAACTTGAAAGATTCGTGCCCGACACGCCGTTTTGAGCGATGATGGTTTTTTCGGGGGACCCACTCCCACTTCCAAACCCCGCCTCCTCCTAAACGCACACCAAATGCAGCGCAGCGAATGTCATTAGAACATAAAAATGATATTAATTGCATGCGAGAGTGCAGTCCAGGGAATGGAGATTGGGAATGGGATTGGGATTGGCAGTGGGAATGGGAATGGAATGGGAATCAGGGTGGTTTGTGGCAATGGCACATGGCATGCAATAGAAACGTCAGCGTTATGATGATGGAATATCCCATCCCGAGGTGGTGCCATAGAGATTGCTCGGCCGTTTGAAGACCTATGGCGATCACACGGAGTGAGAAATAAAATAATAAAGTTCCCGGAATCCACACATCAAAATGTGATTATGCTTATATACCGCCAGGGAATTAAGCATGAATTAATATGTGATATAAGTTTGTCTAGAAGGTATTTATTTACCTTATAGATATATTTTGAATATATTAACTCACTCACATCAAAATGTGAGTATGCCTTATATACCACCTGGGAATTAACATGAAGGAATTATTTTCCTTATAGATATACTTTGGAATGTAATATTTTTATTTTAATACATTTTCAAAGACATATTTGTATACAACATTATATTTATAATAATAATTAACAGCCATTAATTATTAAATAATTAATATTCGGGGTGTTTTTATTAGAATATTGTTTGATTCGCATAGTTTTCAGCTTGAATTTCATTCCCCAGACTATAAAAAATAACTATTAAATAAAATATTTATGAAAATCTGTATATGTTCACGTATTTTCCCCCAGTGCTCCAGTTGACACATGGAGATCCATGAAAGTGCCCAGAGCGCCAGAGCGATCCACTTACGTCTGAGTTTTGTGTGTGGTGCTGGTGCTCTTTGATGGAGACGGCTGCCACAGCGATCGCATAGCGCTGATAAATAATAAAAATTAAAAATAAATTAACACCTAGTAAAGATGCAACGGACTGGGGACTGAACACCGAGGACTGGTTTCTCTCTGCCACTTTGTCCCTGCTCTGTCATTACTTGGGACCTGGTTTCGAATGTTGCCGGTCCGCAGACAGCTTAAAAATAGCGCAAAAGTAATTAAAAACGAAAATATAAAAGCAAAAGACAAACGCACGCACATCCACATACCACCGGCCATATAGCAACCCCTCGTCGAAAAAATAAAAATAAAAATTATGCTCGACTATATTGAATTTAACAAGCGCAACGTCGATGCAGGCGGAGATCAAAGGAGGCTGGGGCTCCATCTCCATGGCGATGGGATAATACGCCGAAAGTGTTGCCCTGGCCCCTCGATAATGATGATGCTAATGCAGTTGACATTTTATGTGGCCATAGAATGCCGGGCATGGCCGATAATTAAATGCAATAATAATTCAATTTAATTAGCTGGCAGCTGGTGGCTGGCTGCACGTCTGCCAAATGCCCCAAGGGGAGTGTTTAAATATTGATGGATTGATTAGCATAATATTTGGTTTATGATTTCACATTGTTTGGGGATTTGGTTAACGGCGTCAGCGGCAGCGTCGGCTAATTGAAACGCCTTAAAAGAGGTCATTAGTTGGCCAACATCTGTCAAGGGTGTTGATTATGTACTTAGATGTTGTGTGAAAACTCTAGCTGCAGGATGGATGTTTATGTGTGCACTCAGATGGGGATTGTTTTTAGGTTCGATGAAGTATTAAAAGACTGATGATTTGGTATGAGATTTTAAAGTTCTATTTAAATAGTCTTTAAAAATAAAACTAGTTTTTACTAAGCATAGCATATTTAGCTTGTTTTTTAATGAATCATTTTCATTTTATTTTATATATTTTCATTAGATATGTTGATAATAAAAAAGAACTAAGGACATTTTGTGCTAATTCATTTTAAACGTAATTTTTTTTTGCCGTATAATAAAATTATAAACTATTTTTCTATGTGGTTTTCTAAAATCTGAAAGCAACATATCTAATTTCCACACAATTGTTTATTGGCTGACAAATCCGATTTAGAGCGAGCTTTTAATAAGCCGCCAAACAGGCTAGAGATACAGATATATCCCTGCCCAGGCGCTTTCAGGACACAATGGCCGTGCGGGAGATATTTCATTGAATCAATTAACGCTGGACATGGCATAATAATTACTGTCTGTTGCCCACACAAGCACACACCTACAGATGCAGTAAACTACCCACCAAAACCACCCACCCACTAACACACACACACACAGGCAAGGTCGCCGAAGCGACGGAGCAGCAGGGACATGTTCGTTTCTTCATTGATAACTGGAAGGGAAGCTCATCCTGGCCCGTTGCTTAACCAACTGTAACAGTCCAACTGAGCGACAGAGAGGCAAGAGCCCCGGAGAAAGAGACGGGACAGACAGCCAGAGAGAGAGGGCACCAACTGACGCAAACAGAAGACGAAGGATGCAACTCGCACTGGGAGACATTTTAAAGCAGTTCAGTTAACTTACTGTTATTTTAACCACTACTTTTAAGATTTATCACTATTTAATGTGTTTTATTTTATTGTATTTATAGCAACCTTTCTTAAAAGACCTACGGTTTAAGATGAAATCTTTTAGAGTTAGTCATAAATCAAAATTGTTTTTCTCTAAGGGTTAGTAAACCATTAAGCTTTGGTTAGCTATATATTTTTAGTATTTTATCATTAATGTTATCAACATATCTTTTCATAGCAGTATATAATGCGGTTAAATTAATCTCCTAATTTTCCAATAATTTTAAAGTAACCCCCGCTTTTTTCTCAGTGCAACAGTAAAACAAAAATTTGCCCGTATTAAAGCAAAATAATGAAGTGAAAATGGCAACAATGTGATTACACCCAGTCGTAGACCCAAAGCCATAATAAATTGTTCCACAAGCGAGAGGTCAGATCGAAAGAGCGAGGGAGTGAGGGATAAACAAGAGCGAGAGGGAGCATCTGCGCCGGCGCAGATCGAAATGTTGCCAGCATCTTCAGCAACATGTTGCTCGGGACTAACTTGTTGGATGCAGCATCAGCACTCGTTCCCATTTCCTTCTCATAATTTCCTCCGGCGGGAAAACTTTTCGCTGCCGCACACACCGATTTGTCTGGCGAACAATTTCCGAAAGGCGATTGCTTAAACGCAATTCGAAAAGTTATTAATTGAGCTGGCCGTAATGAACTCATTTACAGTTCGTAATGTAATGTTCTCCCATTACAGGCACACAAAAACAGCTGCCGATGCCGATACCGACTTCCCGATTGCCCGTTTCTGATTCTGATTTCTGAATCCGTAGTACTTGATGGAAACATTACGTCGAGTTAAATTGCTTGTAATGACGCCGATGGGATGCCGGGGAGATTGCGGGGATGGGGGTTAAATAGGGCTAAATGTGTCCAATCACTCGGGGGCGATTGGGATTGGGGTTGGGGTTGGGGCTTGGGTTCTGTACTCTATTCGGAACAGGCAAGCAAATGTCAGACAGCGTTTCTCCATTTGCCACTGGTCGTCGGGGAGCCAGACGTTCTGTTCGATATGGATATGACTACATCTAATGGATACACACAATTCTATCTTATCGCCCCCACCCCTTCTGGAGGCAGGAAAACAGGGGCAAAACTTTCGCCCAAGTGGGATTTGGTAAATGGGCAAGTTACACTTCGATATGGGCTCACATATCATTGCACTTTAATTATGATGGCTTCAAGACAATATTTTATTATATTAAAAGCATTCATAACTAAGGTATTATTGATAGGTCATCTCAGCCAAATATGAACTTGAGCAATATATTATAGTATTTTAGGAAAGAAAACTTGTTTAGTATTTTAATTTTAGTTCTGGGTACTTACAAAAATTTTTAAATCAACATTCCTTTGAAATTTTTGGACACACTTTAATATCAAACAGGTCTGGATTTTTCCTTCAGTTCTATCCAAACTCCAACTCTATAACTACTACTCGCCCACTAAAAACTACAAAGAGAAAACATCGTATCGAATAGCAGATATTTCAAAAAACTGCCGTGTTTATATCGTTGTCGTTTTGGTTCAATTGTGGCTGTTCTGTACTTAGGATGGACGCACCACACAACCTAGAGGGCAGGGATCCCAATGATGAGCTGCGGATCGATCGAATTGGTGATGTGGCGGCTGGAGATGCAGGCGATGACACGGACGAAGGACAGCAACATCCGTTTCGGGGATGAATCGTCAAATGGCCATCCTGCTGGATGCTCCTCAAGAGCCTCCTTTGGCGAACTGGTTTCCGGCCAGAGAAGGACCGGATGAACCGCCGCGTCTGCGCAAGAAACGCAGTTTCTACACCATAGTCAAACCATCGTCATCATCTCAAAGCCAGGAGCCGGAACAGTGCCTCCTAATGGCCAACGTCACGAGGGCAATGCGTCATGTGCGGGAGGAACATCGTAGAAGTACTTCGCCAATTACTTGGTCGAGAACATGACCAGTCAGAACTATCCAAATGGTGTGGGACTGCCACAACGCTGGGGTCAGTTCTGATAAGTCATACTTGTCCAGAATTAGAAGATCAAAAGAAGCTCTGCGGAACCTCAGAAGATCGATAGAGCTTTTCGGGATCCCATAGCCCAATATACACATCCACCCGACTCATTACTCACACTACAAGGCACTATTGTCCCTTCTCCTCGATTACACCTATATTAACATACTTTGGACTGGAAATGTTCGCGATTCAATGCTGTTGAATAAATAACACTAATCAGCAATGTTACATTTTCAGTTTTGGTTCTGTAGTTACAATTTCCAAAATGTTATCTAATGTTTGCCACCAAAAAGAACCACATATTGTTATATTAGAAACACAAATTTAAAAAACCCTTGCTTTCGTCTTTGATCCATTGTATTAAATATATTTTATTATTGCCACCAAAAAGGACCACATATTGTTATATTAGAAACACAAATTTAAAAAACCCTTGCTTTCGTCTTTGATCCATTGTATTAAATATATTTTATTATTCAACTTAATAATTATAAATATTAAAAAAATAATTATATTATTTCTCCCTTAAATATAAAACATGTCTTTATTTTATAACAGATGGGGAATCCTTCAAGACTATCTATTCATTTCAACTCTACAAAAAAGTAAAAGTTTTATGGGCTATTACTACCGTGCCAGTTCTCTTTCTGTAACCTATCGGAAGCTTTTGAAAGTAGCCTACTTCTAGGGCTGTTTGATCAAATCAAACTTCATTACAGGTACCGGATTAATAAAGCATTTGCAGTTCAAACAGAGAAACACTTTTGCAGCACGTACACACAAATCAAAGTTTTTGATTTTGATTTGTTTGCCGGCGGACGCTAAATTGCCTGAAGGCTACCGAAAAATTCATGAAATTGACAATTAATAAACTTCAAATTGGAAGCCGCACACACGCCGGAGCCCCCAAAACTCCACCTCCAACTGCATCAATTCGAAAACAAAAGGATCTATAGGGCCCCCAACAACTGGGCACACATATGGACCATGGCCACTGACAATGGCCACAATGAACAGAGGGATCCAGAGACAAAGCCCGAATGCGGACAATTGCCCAAAGTGTAGCAAATAAATACAAAATGCAAAAGATAATTGCAATCAAAGCCACAAAATGTAGCCAAAAGGCTTATAAATTGTGGGTGGTGGTGGTGGGTGGAAGGGTATAGAGTCGAGCGCCGAAGGTAAACGCATTTAATTTCCTAAATGTGCTTCACATACCACAGGCGGCACAAAGATACATACTTGCGTTCATATACAAATACGCTGCAGTCAGTTGCAGTGTTGCAGTTGCGTTGCAATTGCATTTGCAACAACAACCCCCTCAACCTCCCCTCCCCCCATGCAACACCACACAACGAGAACAACAAGAAGAAGCAGTTGAAGCGACGGCAATTTACGGCCATTATTGCAACAGACAGCCAGCTATATTATGCGCCACGCCCGCAACATGAGCACTGAGAAAAACATTTACACTTACATATAAATAAGGTAATAAAATTTGAGTTTATAAATTAAGATAAGAATGTGTAGAATTAAGATATTTCCAATAAATAATTAATACTAGATACTTTTAAGTGAATGCCTACTGAGTTTGCAACATATATATTAAGTAAAACGGTTTAAGGACTCAGAAGCTGTATGAAATCATAATATCATAAAAAAAAAAAAATGATTAATAATTTTTTGGTAATGTGTCCTAAATTCTGATTTCATGATTGAGAGTTACAATTAAATCGATGATTAATGTGTGTTAATCAATCAATATTTTATTATTTTATATATTACATATATGACAATAAAATGAATATAATAAATTATTAAAAGTATATTATCAGAGCCATAAAGATCCATAAATTTATGGTCTCAGTGCAAGGACTCCCTACCCCTTCCGCATCCCTTTCGGGCCGCCCCTGACTCCTGACGAGTGGGGGGGGTTTCCTCCTTCTGCCATAACTTTTTGCGGCTGCTTTTAGGCTGAGCTTTTGCATTTGCTTTTTGGTTGCTCTGTGAATGCGTTGCAAATGGCCACATGCAACAATGTTTTTGTTGCTGATGTTGTTGCCCCCGCCCTCTAATTGAATTGCATTGAATTGAATTGATTTTTGGTTAGCTTTGTCCGCCTAATTGTTGCATTTACATGGGCGGAATGGCCATTTGCAAGGATTATATGCAGTGAAATCAAATTAAACAAAAGTCGCATTATTAAAGGAGAACATTTAAAGCGCAATTATGGCACATGATGCAGGGGTTGATTAATTTGCAAAATGCTGCAACAATCTGACAATCGAGTGGCATGGAGTTTTCCGTTTGGAATCCATTGTTTGACAGACGATTCGCAGCCCTTTCCAGAGCAATTCGTCCATGGAAATGGACCTGTGTGCGATATTGGGGTTGTTGCCTGGGTTTCCTGAATGTCCTGGACTTCGCCCACCGGCAAATGAACGCACGAAATGTGATTGATGCTCATCCGCTATCGCCGAGCTCCATTGTTGCGCGATGTCTTTGATCTATGACCACCACCACCACCATCCATCCATCCTCCACCCTCTGCCACCTGGGCATTGTTGAGTAATTGATTTTACCTCACATGACTCCATTTCAACCACCTCACAGACCCCCCAAAATTCAGCCAAGTTAATTTGAGTTCATCTACATGCCGGCATGAATTCAACGTCGCGGCAACTTCTTGTAATTTCTCCCTAATTATATACACACTTAAGTTCGCATTAATTATTGTCACCGAGTTCTCGGGAAATACCCCACCCAAAACTCAAACGGTTGGGATTTTGCCCGCTCAGCAAAGTTACGTGCAAACAATTACAGAAACGCGGCAGAGCGCAAAACTTTAGCCATTATAAGGCGGCAGCTTTAGGTACTCTATAAAAACTATGTTTTACTTTGATTGGTGTGAAAGTTTTGGTATAAAATATTTTTCAATTTTCCTTAATTTTGTTTTTAAGGGACCTGTTAGTTCTGTATATTTTATTTACCATTACACTTTTAAAAAGTTACACAAATTAAATAGTCCTTTAAAAATTAAATACACAAATACCATTTAATTTTCAGTACAACTTGAAATGTTTTTAAAATAAAGGTATTCACAACATTTATGTGTTCTAAGTAAGTAGTTAATTTTTATTTCCTTGTCCACGTGCCAACTGTAACTACTCCAAATGCCATTGTTTCAAGTAATACCCTTCTAGTGCTGTCTAGAGTATCTAAGCTTCACTATTGAGTTAAGCGCTTTACATATTTTGTTTTTATTCCGTTGTATTTATGGGGAAACGTGTGCAGAAGTTTTCCACTTACAAACAATTCACAAGTAAAATACCTTGACTTTTGGCGCTGCTTCTGCTTTGCTGCCCATGGAAAATGGGAAATGGTGGGGGTCTTCTGCGGAGGAAGCTGATGTCTGTGACTGCCATTACCAAGGCTCTTATGCCCATGCCCCTGATGCCCCTTGTGCCTTTGCAGCGAATTGCACACACACATTGTGAGCTCGTGTAGCAAATTGTTGGAAAATAAAGTAAGTACACCAGCAACATAAACAGCAGCAACAGCAACAGCAACATCCGCCCCGAACGAATGGCAAACTGAGCATCAGTTAGAGATACTTTTCGACGTAAGTAGCGTGGGTGGGCTGCAGTCTGGTCTGCCTGGATTCCTGGGTCCCCTCTCCCAGAACCCCCTGCCAAACCCCAAAACCCCCTTCAATCCAAGTCGGCTGTCTAAATACAAGCGATTTGTACGTCTAGTTGCTAGTTGCCATGGCAACATCTGCTTCGCCAACTGAGTTTATGCAAAATAATAATAATACTCACCTGCAGTTCTCTCCTTTGGGATGGATTCTGCAATGAAACGTTGAGCACTGCTATAAGTAGGTATTCTTCGGTGCTGCTGGTGAAAAAAAATGCAACTAATGAAATTACTCAACTTGGCTTCTCCTGTTTCAGTGTAATAACCTAATTCCATGGTACTATATTATTCATTTCACTGCACCCGACCGACAGGAATTTGATGGAATTTCCTGTAAACAGGCAGCTCGCAGAGGACAGACAAGCGACTTCCTTCGAATAGACACACAAGCGCACAGTGAAGACCCTGGATGAAGGAAGGGGACACCAGTCCCCCATTCGGAAACTCAGACGGACACATAAACAGGCTTATGGGCTGCTCGTCGTAAGGGAGACTCTATCGGTTCTCCATGGTCTTCTGTTGTTCGCTTGCCGGTTAAACAAACAGACCAAACGCCACCACAGACAATCAGAAAGGCATTCAGCCAGGAGAATGCCGAACACCAGCTACAAAGCATTGCAAAAACATAGAGACACACAGATAAAGTATCTTTTTTGAGCTGATTCTTACTTTTTATGAATATTTAGTAAATAATCGAAATACAATCTAACAATTCTAATGCTATCATAAAATCAAAAGGCAAAGATACATTTATTTGTTAAGCTTAAAACGTTTAAATAATTCTCCTGTTGTCCAAACAGTAGTTTAAAAACGTTCTGTAATAATTTGATCTATCTTGAATTAAAAACGGCAATCCCAATTTAAACCTAGATTAGGATAACTTAATAATTATTTGATTTCATATAAGAGCTGAATTTATGATGTCATTAAAGATGAGGCCATTCATATTCAACGAGTTTTGCTTAGGGCCCCATTTATTTGCATACTTGAGAGCTAAAAGCCAGAACAATTGTGTGTCCCAGAGACAATTCCCTGGGTGATTAATTTGGCATTTTGCGATCTTAATTGATGGCAATTTGTGATTCGTGTTGCCAACTCTGGATGTGCGAGAAGGAGACAGCGGGCCATTAACACATTTTAATCTGCCGCTGGGCGAATGGCTTTTGTGTGGTCGGCTGGGATGGCGTATCTGAATCTGCATCTGAATCTGAAACTGAATCGCAGTCGGAATCGAAATCGGATGCTCCTCCGGCAACGAAAGCTGGCGCTCAGTCGCTCTTAATCATCAGCATAAGCAATAATGGGAAACAATTGCCATCTGCCGACTGCCAGAGCCTCAGTCTTTGCTTTTGCTGTGCTGTGCTGTTGCTATTGCTTTTGCTTTTGCTGCCACTGAAATTGCTGAGCTGAGGCACAAACTTTTATTGCATTGCCATGTCAACAGTCGCAGCAGCAATTGCTGCCTGTAAGTGTGTGAGTGTGCTACCATTGCACTTAAAATGCGAATCCGAATCTGAAACCGACTGCGAATG